TGCATGTATACAATTATGATTTATTCATTTCATAGAATACTAATTTAAAAATACAAAAGTTGAACTTTTCTTTGCATTGCACCTCATTAGACTTTTCTCTCTTGAAAACTTGAGTGGCCTCTCCTTGCTTCTTCCAACACCCAAATCGATGTGTGCCAATGGCTTATGCAGTCTCTCTCCTCCTCCCTCACAACAGGAAATGTGTGTGTTTTATCTGGATTGATTTCTGATTTTTCTCATAGCAAATTTTTGGCTCCAGGCCCCGACACCTTGTGTCCGCCTCGCTGCAGGACAGGAAAGTATCCCATGTGCAGCCTGCACAGTCTGAGCCAGCAGCATCTCCCAGCTCCGTCCCAACACAGGCAGAGTCCCAGGGAAGCAGGGTGAGGACTAGGGGTTGTGTGGACTCTGCGGGTCTGGTGATTCACACTGGGGGGAGACGTGGCTCCATTTCCCACATTTCCTTCACACAACGCATGATTATAGGAAAGTGCTTCCATATGGTGTGGGGGAATCCCAGCTAACACTAGCTTCTACCCAACAGGGGCTGCAGTGAGAGGGTCAGGAGAGCAGCACCATGTCTGCAGGCAGGCTGATTCTGCCTTAGCCCCGCACATGGAACTGGACCCTGGGAGGCGCCAGCGTCCTACGGCTGCAGCAGGTGACCACCTGGCCCTCATGCTCTGCTTGGAAGGAGCTGTCTGTGTGCTCCAGTCCCCCCTCCACCATAGAAACTGATAAAAGACAGGAGACATTTTAGGGGTGCTTAACCTGGGATGCCTTAAGTGGGCATGGCGGCCTGACAGCCATCCCTTAAAAAAAAAAGCAGAATGGCTCGCTTGGGGCTTATGAAAACACCAGCATTTTCCTGGAGTGAAAATGCATGATTTTCAATAGATTTTCAAAAGGATCTATAATTCAAAAGCTGGAAACCACCTGGAGAGAAAGAATGAGGGGAAGAAAGAAAGAGACAGAAGGAGGGAAGGAAGGAGAGAGAAGGAAAGAGAGAGGAAGGAGGGAAGAGAAAGGGAGGGAGGCAAAGAGACAGACAGAGAGAGACAGAGAGAGAGAGGGAGAATATGGATGTCATAAGAGTGAGGACAAGAGTGAGCGCTAGGAAGGATAGGAGTGCGCCCCTTCAGCCAGCCCAGCCCTCACTCCTCCCCACTCCAACCCATGCCTTTCCCTTCCATGGCCCTCTCTCTACACTTCTCCAGAAAAGACCAACTTCTCAACACAATCTCACTCAGCCTTTGCCTGGTTCAACTTAAATTACCTAGATTTTTAATCTCTCTTGGACCCTGACAAATACAGGTCTTCTCTGACAAGAGTTTCAAACTCTTTAAGAGCAAGGATAATTCCAGACACTTGCCCAGCACACTACAGCCTCTCCCCAGAGCCACAGGACAGCCTGTGTCTCCAAACTGCCCGCCCCTGGTGAGTTCTTCCTCCAGCTACACTTTCTACTACAGGTCACTTTTTATGCCAATACGTCCACACAATCCCCAGATGAACTGATCATTGATCAGAAAAAAATCTGTTGACAGCTATTCACATTTAAGGTATGCAAGAGGTGTGGCATCCTTTGGTGCCCAAATGAGTGATGCTTTCAGTAAAGATGCAGCAGCATTTACACAGCACTGCGATGTCAGCACTAGAGTTCTCAGCATGGACTGATTGCTATCGTCCTGACAACGACTCTATAATGGGGGTACTATTGCTACTACCACTTTGTAATGACTAGTTGAAAATGAGAAACAAGGACACTCAATGAAGAATAATTTTCCCTTTTACATTGCTAGAAAACAATAGACCTAGGATTGAAACCAGGCAGTCTGATTGCAGACCCCAAATTTCTTAGCCTCCCCGCTATTTTGCCTCTCATAATTGATGTTGTGAGATAGTTCTTAACATCTCTGGTCCTGTAAAAATGGGTTTGACAATACAAAATGCTAGAATGTAAGAGTACTGGTAGACTTTACTGACATGATATGTCTGAAAAGAACCTTGGGATGTATGACATGCTGTACCAGTGTTAATAATAACAGTGGGATGGAATACTAAGAACTTGGTTTCCCACCTCCATAGAAGCAAGGGTGTCATATGCTACAGTTCTGGTCAGTGAAGGAAAAGTCCCTGGGGAGGACTTTTCTTCCACAATAAAGGACACAGTATTAAAGAATGCCTTTTGCATGACCTTTTTCCTTATTACCTGGGATGAAGGTGGATGTCTACACATTCAGTGATAACTCGGTAGCCAGAAATAAAAGCCACATTCTCAGGATATGGAGAGAGGAACATGGATCCAAGAGACATCACAGAACAGCTATGGGGCACCCCTGACTGCCCACTCCCAAGGTCGTGTTAGGAGAGACACAAACTCCAGCGTTTGTAAGTTGAGTTTTCTAGGCCGCTCAGTAGAACGCATTCCTCATCACCACCCCACCGTTCAAAGCCGTCTCATTCATGACGCCCATGGGTAGGAACCTCCACGAACTCATGGTGCCCAATCTCATCTAGGCCCTTTAGCTCCTCCTCTATCTTTCTGCTGCCACTGATGAGCTCCAGCTCCTCCCTTCCTCAATGGGAACACACTCAAGTCTTTGAGATCCCCCACTCCCGGGGCTGACTCTGCTTTCTAATGAAGAATCAAACAGGCCCCATAGAGCGGAACACATTTAGGTTTTCACCATGCCCCCACCCGCGGCTGTATCCCTCTTCCTGTCTTGGGAACCTTGCCTTCCGCACATTCCCTCTTCTCTCCACTCATCAGCTCATTGCAATCAGGCTTCTGCCTAAAAGTCACTGGAACCACTCTTGCAGATGCTTGCAAATGTCACAAATAATCTTCAAATTGCCAAAATGAATTTGGGGGCCCTGATTCCAGCTGTTTTCACCAGAGTATTGAACACGGTTGAATTACCTCTTTCTTGAAATTACTCACCCTTCGTCTTCCACAGCTCTGCTCTTTAATTTCATGGTTGTCCTACCTATTCTGCATTCCTTTTCAGCTGGACTTCCTGAAACCTCTTTCCTGGTTAAATGCTTTGACTTCAGATCTTTCTCCAGAGACAGCCTCGGCTCTCTTATTTTCTACTCGGCTCTCTTATACTCTTAGAGTATATGGTGGGGAATGTGTTGTATCAACCCTTTTACTACATACATACAGCATGCAGTCAAGGTCTGTTTGAAGGAATAAAAAAGATACTACCAAACTGAGCAGTTTCAAGGCCAAAATTCTGGAGAGAAGGAAAATCTAAGATGGTGGGCTCTTATCTTCAAAGTCTGTGTGCTTTTTATGAATTCCTTATCCAAACGAACAGCAAATGTACCTATCCATCTGCTCAAACTGAAAAATTTGCTTTGTCCTGGTGTCTTCCTTTCTCTGGGTCTTCATGTAAAGAGCTACCAAACTCCTGCTGACTCTGTCTCCTACCTGTCTCTGCAGCCCCTCCCGCCTCTCCATCTCCTACCCCACCACTGAGACCAAGGCCTCCACATTTCAAACACCTCCGGGGACTTTTTAAAAGCTTCCTATGTGGACTCTCTTCTTCCAGGCTTACTCACAACTAACCCAGCCTCCACACACTGCCAGAATTAGTTTTTTTAACAAAACACAATTGTAACCTCATGGCTCCAATTAACCTGAAATACAAAGCACAGTAATGAGGGCTTCTGTGGGTGACACCCGGACACCGCTGCCTTATCGCCCACTCTCAAGTGTGCACTCAGGCCTAAGCAATATAAAACCAGCTCCTCAAAAGAGCGAGATATTTATTATTACACCATGAACTTAGTGTTTCCTCTCTCTGCAAGACACCTCCTTCTCTTATCCCTTGCCATAATGTCCTCTGCACTTGGGGGAATAAATAAGATCCCTATTTCATGAGTTACATCAACACAAATTCAAATGAATAGGACACTTGTGGTGGCTCACACCTGTATTCCTAGCACTCTGGAGGCTGAGGCAGGAGGACTGCAAGTTCGAGGCCAGGCTTGGCAACTTAAGGACTTAGCAAGCACCTATCTCAAAATAAAAAAGGGGCTAAGGATGTAACTCAGTGTGAAGCCTTTGGATTCAATTCCCCAGAACTAAAAAAAAAAAATAATAATGATAATAGAAATTTTTAAATAATAAGCTCAGATGAGTAAATTTACAAGTAGAAAAATAAAACCATCTAAGTACTGGCAGAAAATACACACGACTTATTTTCTTCCTTCAAAGCACAGATCACAATAAACTACAACCTCAGGGCCAAACTCACCTGCAGCCTATTTCTGTAAATCAAGTTTTATTGGCGCACAGCATGCCCAGCTTGTCTGTGGGACCTATGCAACGCCCTGGTGTTGTGAGCACCTGGGCCAGACAGCCTAGAACACTTTCTCACTAGCCTTTAACACCAAGTTTACTGGGCTCTGAAAGCAAAGGCAGATAGTACTGAAGTGAGATGATGCAAATTTCTGAATACCATTAGAAATGATTTATTCTTTAAGCATAAACAAAAACAAAAGTCAAATTTGAAAACCACATTCAAAACAGGTGTGACAGACGAAAGCCTAGTGTTTGTGCTGCATTAGAAGTTCACAACAGAAGGAAAAGATTAAGAAATAGGAAAATGGATACATAGCTTCAATAGCTACATAACTGAAAAACAAAAAAAGTACTAATCGTCAATAAATAAATGACAGTGTTCTCTACCTTGTTAGCAGTTGAAGGAAAATAAAAGAGATTAGTACTTCATAGTTACCTGAAAAAAATCAGCGAATATTATTAAAAATAGCAACACTTTGCAATGTAGAAGAGTTAAAAATGGGCAGTCTTTGAAGAGATACTGAGAAGAAAAATGTTATGTACTTTTTGAGAGAAAATATTTAGAAAGCTGATCAAAGTTCCTTCCAACCAAAAAAGCTTAGCGTTAGGAAAATGTTATTCCAGAAACACAAATAGTGTAAAACACATACTGTTGTACGCTGACATCAAAGTGGGCTTCAAAACCTACTTTTTTCTGGAGAAACGTGCGACTTGGACTGTCCCCGGACAAGCCTGCAGGTGGAGCCGTCGCCAGCACAGACTCCGCAGCTGTCCTCCTTGGCAACGCTGCCCAGCTGCCGGTCACAGCCCACGGCCTGCGGGGAGAGAGGGGTCAGGGGTGCAGGGCGCAGGCTAGCGAGCTGTCCCCGGCCCTTGTATTTATTTTTATTATTTTGTTTTATCTATTTTTATCATTTTATTTAATTTATATTTTATTTTATATTTATTTTGTTTTATTATTTTATTTTTGAGATGGGGGTCTTGGTAAGTACGGAAGGTATCCAGGCTGGGCTTGAACTTGCCATTTCCTGCTTTAGCTTCCCAGAGTTCTGGGATTACAGGTGTGCACTGCTTCACCATCTTCCACTGTATAATTCTTAGGCAAGTCTCCCCCCATTAAAGGAACTGGGGCTGCCCCTCCTTACCCCCATTCATTCATATTTTATTCACATATTTCTATGAGACATAGATAACGTTTCCTTCTCTTTCCCACCCTCTCCTAATCTCCCTCCCCTATCTTTGTCCCATTTTCTCATTTTCTCCCCCAAATAGCTGCTATGCTGAATCTTCTGTGACCTTCTGGTCCACAGCATCTTCACAAACCTATATTTCTTTTTTTTTTTTTTTTTCGTTTTTCCGGTACCAGGGATTGAACTCACAACCTTGCGCTTGCCAGGCAGGCCGCTGAACTATATCCTCAGCCCACAAACCTGTATTTCTACACAAATATATCCACGTCTCTATTTTGTGTCTTCATATCTCCTCTTTCTTATTACCTGTATCTATACCTATGTATCTCCACCTCCACATCACTATTTCTATATATTTATAAACAAATATTAAAGAGAAGATAGGGCAGAAGTCTCAGAGAGAAGTTTATACTGTTACTTCCATTCACTTGCATGTTGTCAATCTGTGTAGGTCAGATCTCTAAGGAAAAGGCTGTGTTCTTTTATTTCATAAATGTCTTTTGCATAATGCGTGCCCAATAATATTAGTTGCTCAGATGGTCCACCTCTGATGTCATAGTCATCCAACTTTATTTATATCTGTACAGCTGATATTTAAGGGCAAGAACTTGGCAGCAGACAGGCTGTTTACAAACCCTGACTTACCTTGTCTTTCAAAATCAGGATGCTGAAGAACTCAGACCCTTGGAGACTCAATTTTTCCCTCAATAGTACAGTAAAGGCAATAACACTAATATGGGCTTTGCACTTCTCACAGGGTCTATTATTTTTTATGGTTGCAATTTATCTTCTTTTAAGGAAGGCATACGTGTGACACAGAATAGTGATGTTTGTTTGGGGGAACTGGTGTATGTATGTAACATATCTTGATATTTCCGACCCTTTCTTCCCCTCTTCCTCCTCTCTCCTCTGCCCTGTGCTTCAGTTTGAAGAGCTGATGAATCAGACCCTACACCCAAGGCACTGAAGAGAAAATAAAACTGGCATAAGTTGAAACCACATCTTTCCAAAATTTTGATGTTGAAGGGAAGGAGAAAGATGAAATGAAAGTTTCAACGAGAGGTGGGGAAAGTTCCAAGGGCACTGAGAGAACAGTCGAGCTTAGTGCTATTTTCAAGGGCTATAAGCACAGAAGGGTCCACATTTGCTCAGTGCATTTCCAAATGGTGAAAGCTTCAAGGTTAAGCACAATTTAGTCCAATTTGAAAAAGCTTGAAAAGTCAAGTCTGTGTAGGCCACCTTCTTCCTCCTTAGGATCAGCGGATGGACAACAAAAATCCTGTTTATAAGGGCCAATATATGAATATTTACTGGTACATGTGGAAGAATTTAAGAGTGATTACCCTGGAAACACTCTTGCATGGCTGGGACTGGACCAGTGAGTAACTGTGTTCATGCAACCTTCTCCACAGGGAATAATTCCACCATGAAGTTAGAGAAACTCTCTTCCTGGGCCAAGCTCTGTCCTCACACATCCTTGTCCCTGAGCACTTCCAATTTCATGAGAATGAGAGTTATCCTCTCTCTGCTCATCCAGGAAGGGTGTGGATTTAGGCACTAGGGTGGGCTTGTTTTGAAGTGTTCAGGGCCTTGCAAATTCTTAGGCAACTGAAATCTCCAGTCACTTGTGTTTGCTTCATAATTTTTTTAAGTTAAAGTTCATCCAAATTTTACAGCCAAATACAGCATGTGAAAACATCCCAGAAAAATGAAAGAAGGCTGGGTTGCCTTGTGATTCACAGACTATCAGCCAGAACTGCCCTTGAGGCTAAGGGACAGCTGAATTTTGGCTTTCAGAGTCCACCATAATCAACCCGAAGCAGCTTTCAAAAACTGCCTGAAGTGTTTTCAGCTGCTGTGACATCTCCTGATGTCAGAATATCCAATTATAATGATTCATAAACTACTAATAGGAAAAATATCAATAAAATGTATTAACATCTATTAAGTAACCATTTTCTATAGCTGCAAGCACTATAGACTATAAATTACTAAGACAAGATCTTTATCTTACAGTGTAGTTAATGAGGCAAGTTACAAGATAGAGGATAATATAAAATATTTTAAATACACGAATAGTGCTTATTGGAATAAATAGTCATCTACAAATTATCACTTCAGCTAAGAATTATGTCATAGTCTCTGCATATGATTTATTAATCAATTAAAAGATAATGTTTAAATAAGTGTCATTAACTCTAATTAAACAAAATAAGAATTTTTTCCCGATAAATCAAATTTAATACCTCAAGAACCAAACAATTTTTTAAAATCAACTTCTGTTTGAAAACTCTAAAAACTGGGTTCTGCCTTCGGGAAAAATTTAGCATGTGTCTTAAAAATTAGCGTGTGTGGGGCTGTGGTGGCCACTAGCGATACTCATAAACAGCAGCGCCTCCTCTCAGCCTACGGAAGAGTCTCCCTGCCCAGTCCCAGCGAAGCTACCTGTGGTCACCGACTGTCTTTGGTCAGTGACATATGAGCCTACGTGACCTGGGTCATTTCTGTGAGAAGTTTTAAGGATCTTCGCATGAGAACTTTGGTCTCTTTCTCATTACTACAATTATTACAGAGTTGAGTGTTTAAGTATGTTATATGGATGTATGAATCAGCCCAAAGGAAACCCATCAATCTGTATAACTAACATGCATTAATTTGAAAAACAAAGCAGAGACCACAGCTTACCTATGTGGGGCAGAGTGCATCAGCGAGAAGTAACCTGTAATTGTTTTTAATGCCACTGCGATTTAAGGTTTTCTGTTTCTGCTATAAAATCCAACTCCTATTACACAGGAGTGCAGTATATTCCCTGAAACATGGTCATTCATAGCAAGGTGATTTTAAGAACTGGAAACTTCCATTAAAATCTAGATTTCTGACTTCTTTTGACAAAAACAAACAAAATTAAAACCTTCAACATAGTGAGATATATCTGCCCCTTGCACAAGACGCATGTGTTCTCCAGCCCTCGCCATGCACACGACCATGCTGGAGCAGTAACCCTGAGGGTAGTATGGAGACACTGGAGTTTGAATCTCTATTAAGCTGCCTCTGCATGATACACTTGTTGTACTGTCTTTAACAGAGCCACATTCTAGTTTCAGTGAAACTTCAGCTATAGGTAGGGTCATACAGTAAGAAAAAGTACTGCACAATGGATGAGAAAATGGATTCTGGAATTAGGTTACCTGGGTTCAAATTCTAGCTCTATCATTTTCTCTGTATTAGCTCTGTATGCTAGACTGAATGTTCAGGTCCCCCTAAAATTCAAAATCTTGTTGAGGTCCTAACCTCCAAAGTAACGCTAATAGGAGGTAGGACTTTAGGGAAGTGATTAGGGGGAGCGCAGAGCCCTGAATGGAATGTGACCCCTAGACCTCCCTCTTCCCTCCCCCACATAAGGACACAGCCACCCATGAACCAGGAAGCAGGATCTCACCAGACAATGGACCTGCTAGTGCTCTGGTCAGGACCTCCCAGCCTCCAGAAGTGTGAGAAATATATTTCTGTTATTTATAAGCTCCCCAGTCACCCGCAGTTTGTTATAGCAACCCAAATAGACTAAGATACCCTCCTGTGAAAATATACCTGTGAAAATATCTACTCTGCAATGCCCATCTTCCTTATGAACAAACCAAGGATGACTACTCTACTACTTTATTAGGTTGTGATGAGCTAATATAGTTAGGTGCTTAGATGATACCTGACCCCTTTGTTATTATTTTTATTATAAATTCAAAGTAGTTTCTTCCTCTAGTCAGCAGTCAGGGAATTCAACAAATATAAATGATACATTAAATTTGCTCTGCAGACCCGGTCTGCTAGGAGTCAGAAGCAGAAGCAAATTTCATTAAGGCATAGTTGTCTCGTGCTGCCTGAGGTGTTCGGGCTAAGGGAAAGTTGCTCCCAAGAGCACTGTGACATGTTCTTCTAAATGATCAAACTGTAAACACACTTGCAACACTGTATTCTGGGTGAAGTACTCATCAGGGCCCACATCAGCGGTCCTGAGGCCAGCAGAGAGAATACACAGTTTACTCTCTCTCCCTAATGGCTGCTAATGTCCTTGGTCATAACTGTAAAAAGAAAGAATTAATGTGAACATTATCCTGTCAAACGAAAGATACTGAACTCAACCGAGAAGAGCATGAATCATTTCTGATGAAGCACATGTGATTCTTTTTACTCAGACACCTGGGCCAAAAAGGCACTCAGCTTTCAACACCACCAGGTATTATTGCCCATTACTGCCCAAAGAATTTGCTTCTCCTGTTGGAATCACAGAAACAACACATGAGGCACTCATTTGAAACAGGCTAATTTGGCATGGAAAAATAACTTTATCCTGCAAGACCCTTCGAACCCTGAAGCAAACCAAGCACTGGACTGAGACTAGGAATCAGAGGACAAAGGTGGTGGTCAGAATACACAAGGGAACCGGAGGAAGGATCCCAGGGCTGGCAGAAGCCCTCTTCTGGGACAGCTGTTGTGCTGAGCACTTGGAATGCTGTTTGTTTAAGAATGAACCTAAAACAGGACCTGCTGAGAAGAAAACCTCCTTTTCACTCATCAAAAAAGCCAAAACGCATAGGTGTTAAGCCAGCGTATAATTAACTGGTCTTCCACTGATCACAGGAATGGAATTACGGTGCAGCCCTCTCTAAATCTCAAGTCTGTGCAGACCTGAGCCACAGTCACACCTCTCAGAAAACTGCCATGCCCATCCACGACCTGCACTCAAAACCAAGGTGACCTTAGCCTCACATATCAGCTGAGCAAAGGCAATGCCTTGCTACTTCCTCTAGCTCCCCAAGCACTTTTCTCTAGCCATTTTTGTCACCCCCGTTACCCTCAGAACATCTTCAAATTTCTCCTTCCTCCTCAAAAGCCTGTGTCCTTATTCTCATTAGATGACTTTGCTTTCTATTTCACTAAAGCATCGTTTCACTTTCCTGTCCATCCCCATACACACTGGCCAGTGGCCTGTGTTTCATCTGCCCTACCTCTCTCCAGGGAAGAGATGACCCTGCTTTTTTCTATCCCTACACAGGCCAACCCTGGTTTCTCTTCTCACCCCATCTAATTGCGCCAGGAATTTCATCAATTGTGCATTTCCACCTCTCAATCAACTGCTCATCCAAGCCCAGCAGCACGTATCCTTGTTCACTGGTGGATTTACCATGAAGTTGACGAAGTTCACATTTCAGAGCCACCTTTCCTGCCCCATCTCCCCCTCCACCTGCCCCCGCCTGGACCCCTAAAAGCGTAGAGAGGTGAAGCATATACTCAGAGGGGCAGAAGCTTGGTTACAACAGGAAGAATTTCTGAGTAAGAATCGGCCCATTTAGGAGAATGAGGCAGCAGAATTGCAAGTTCAACTCTCATTTGGGTCACTTAGTGAAACCTTGTCTCAAAACAGAAAATTAAAAAGGCGCTGGGAGTGTAGCACAGTGCAAAGCCCTGGGTTCAATCTTCAGGAGTGTTAAAAAAGAAACACCTGCCAAAGTATGAAAGAAATCTTAAAAGAAAGGAATCTGTAGCTTTGTTATGTTTTCTCATTTCATTCTTAATATTTGCTTGGTGCCTGCTTTTGTATTCATAAATTTATATCCTTTTTCATGAAGATGCTTCTGGCACCAAATATTGCATCTGCTACGGTATTTTCTCAAGTCTTATCCTGGAGACAGACTCTCCTGGTACTTCACATTCTCTGTAGCTTTTTGTCTCTCCCTCTGTGTTCTGATAATTCAAACTTTTCAAAAAATGAATTTATGCTTATCTCTCTGTTTATTTCCACCCATTTATTCCTCACCATGATAGTGGGCTGAACTATATCCTCCTCCTCCCCGCAAAAGACACATCCACCCTAAACCTGTGAGTAAGATCTTCCCTGGAATAAATGTTTTTGCAAGTATAATTAAGGAAGATGAAATCATCCAAGCCCTAATTCAGTGACAGGGTCCTTATAAAAAGAGATAAAGACACAGAGACAGACGAGAGAGAGGTGAAGATGGAGGCAGAGGCTACAGTGATGTGTCTGTAGGGTAGGAGCTCACAGCTGGCAGGGGACCACTAGAGGCCAGAGAAGAAGCCTGGGATGGACTCTCCCTCAGACCCCAGGAGGAATGAGCCTACTAATACCTTTACTTTGGATTTCTGGTCTCCAGAGCTGCAAGAATAAATCTGTTTTGTGCTCAGGCACCAGCCTGTGGTCATTTGCTATAGCAGCCACAAGAAACTAACACAACCTCCATCCACCAGGGCCTTTTTCAGTCATGTCCCTGAGGTTTCTCAAGCTGAGGTCACCAGTGACCCTCCTTGGGACAAAATGAAATGGAGATATTTCACCCCTTACCCCTCTTGCTTCTCTGAAGTCTTTCCTACTGCTAATTTCCTTTACCACTCATCCACCCTTCCCCTCTGTCTTCCATTTTTTCATGCAGTACAGAGGCCATTCTATCTAGGCCCATCAGGAGCACTTCCACTGCTCACTCCTTTGGCAATAAGGGTCAGGGGTCTGTCCTTGGTGAGGTGATGTTACTCAGTCCATAAAGGCGTTGGATTTAACCACATGAAAACCCCCAGATGTTTCTAGTCTAGAATTTTCTCCTAATGTTAGTGTTTTCTGTCTTGGTGAATGTGGCCTCAGCAAATACTTAGTGAACGTGCCAGAATCCAGACAGCATTCCAAACTCTCTTCCACTGCCCCCACATCCAACCAAATATTCAGTTCTAACATATCTGCTTCTTTCATCTCTAAAATTTAACTCCCTTTCTTCATCCTCCTTCCCCAGCTTACCTTTAATAAGCTCATTTTATTCCCACATTGACTTTCCATTGTTTGCCCAGATCCTACCCACTCCAAACAACCTGCCATGTTGCCAATAAAGTCATCTTTCTGAAGATAAGCTCAACTGAGCTACTTCTTACAAAATTCTTCAATGTCTCCTTTCATGACTTACAGCATATGTTAATGATAGTTTTCACCAAAACTTATACCCTCATCTTCTAGCACTATTCCCTGGGTATTTTTCACCTCAACCCTATAAAATGAGTCAGAGACCCTTAAACACACCTGCTGTTACCTCCCTATTCTCTCTGTTTGTGACCGCCTCCCTCACTTTGATTTGTCTAACTTCTAATCAACTTTTTAAGACCTCAGTATCCAAAAACCTCTTATCCATGGAGTTCTCCCTGAGTCCAGACTACCTTGCCTCAAATAATTTTAATTATAAAAGCAATACATGTTCATTATCAATAATGTGGAAAACAGAAAACATAAACCCAACTGATAAAGGATTATGACCACTTAGTAGACAAAAAGCAAGAAGGAATTAGTAACAATAAAGAGAAACAGAAGGATGAAGCAGTTAGTTTTGATCTACAGGAAGATTAATCAGTAGCATGTATCAAATGATGTGGTAAAAGGGTCAGAGATAAAGAAGAGAGGCTGGCTGGCCAGCTAAGGGATGTTGGCTGGTCTAGCCTGTGACAAAAAGATGACAGTGAGCATGTAAGAGCAAGAGTAGAGAGATCCGGATATAAAGGACAAATAAGCAAGTACACTATGTGACTACAATATGACTTCAGAAAGAGTATTGTGACGTCATAAACAAAATGATCAGAAAGGACAGTTGGCAGAACTCATGGATGTGGGAAAAATGAGCGAGTTTGCATGCAGGAGCGTACTGAAGGAATGCTATGGAGGAACCCATGGGCTTTCCTACAGAAACAACAAGCTTGAGCTGGACAATGCAGGACTGGAGTTTGAGAGAAAAGTAAAGAAGAGGCCAGGGTATGTGAATAACCTCTGCATCATTTTCAATCACAGGGACAGGACAGTTTAAGGAAAGCACCACACACCCGACTCCTACCCTCAAACTTACATTCTGGGGTAGGAGACTGTCACAAATAAAACAACCACAGAGGTATATATGCGATTATAAAATGTTATAAATGCAACAAAACAGTATTATAATAGAATCCGAAGAACCAGCTTAGGTGAAGTAATCCCAAGAGGACGTTTAAGGAAGGGGAAATTAAACTGATACCATGAAGATGACTAAGAGTAGCCATGAGCATATGTAAGAGGCCAGAATGGGATCAAAGTAGAAATCAGTAATAGAAAGATCTGAAATCACTAATTTAAGCTTCCACATTAGGTAACTAGAAGAGGAAATTAAATCCAAAATAAGTACAAGGAAATAAATACTAAAAATTAGAGCCAAAAAAAATCAATAAAAGTGAAAATAGAAATCAACAGAGAAAAATCCATGAGACCAAAAGTTGGTTTTAAAAAAGATTAATAAAATTGATATTCTATTAGTCAGCCTCCTTGGGGGGTACTAATAAAATGAAGACAGAGAAATATAACAGCAGTACCAGAAATGAAAGTGGAAACTTTAGTACAGATCAGAGCCTACGGACATTAAAAGGGTAATAAAGCAACTTATGAGCAACTCTATGGCCAAAAATCTGATTACCTCTGGAATGAGGAAGTCTACCAAAACTCCCACAAGAAAAAAGGGACAATGTGAATAACCCTCTACCCAACAAAGGCATTTAATCAATGATTAAGAACCATGCAAAACCAGAAGTTTCCCTGCTATATTCAACTAAACACTTCAGGGAGAAATTATACCAGCTCTTTATCATCTCTTTCTCAAAATAGAATTAAAGGAAATACTTTATCTTTCTTCCATGAACACAAGTGCAAAGATCCTCAACAAAACATCAGTAAATCAAATCCAACAATGTATATAGAGAATTATACACCACAACCTGATGGAATTTTATCTCAGGCATGCAAAGCTGGTTCAAAATTCAAAAACCACTTAATGTAATCAATCAGCCAAAGAAGAAAAATCACATGATCATATAAAAAGACACAGATAAAGCACGTGACAAAATCCAACACTCGTTCAGGATAAAAACTTTCAGCAAATAAGGACCAGAGGAAAATTTCCTCAACTTGATGATGAATATTTACAAAGACTTATTCTTAACATCATCAACTTAATGGTGAGAAACTAGACACTTTCCTGATGAAACCAGGCACAGGCAAATCTTTGCTTTGACTTATCATTGCTTTTCAACATTATCTTGGATGTCCTAGCTACCACAAAAAAAAAAAAAAAAAAGTTATACTAATGATTGGAAAGAAAGAAATAAAGCTGTCTTTGTTCACAGATGACATAGTTGGCTATGTGGAAAATCTGAAATAAATGACAACAAAGGAAACTCCACAACCTCCTAGAACTATATAATAAGTGATGATAGGAAGGTTGCTGGATGCAAGGTTACTACACAAAAGCCAATCACTTCTCGATATATCAGCAAAGAAAAAGTGGAATTTGAAGCTGAAAACACAATACCACTTACAGAAGCACCTGATAAAGGAAATGCTTAGGTGTAAATCTAACAAAAATATGCACAAGATTGTGTGCAAAGAACTACAAAACTCTGATGAAAAAAATCGAAGAACTAAATAAATGGAAAACATTTCATTTTCAGAGGAAGACTCAATTTTGTTAAGATGTCATTTCTTCCCAGCTTGATGTCCATCATTTTTTGGTTATTGATAGACTATTTTTACAGTTTATACTGGGTAAACAACTGGGGGTAGTTCACACAATAGAGAAGGAGAGTGGAGCTGGAGGACTGATGATAGTACATGATTTCAAGACTTACTGTGAAGTGTCAATCATCAAGACAGATGGTATCAGCACAAGAACAGCACATGAAAAAATGGTCAACAACACATACAAAGATGTGGGGGACACTTAAATACACATCGTTAAGTGAAAGAAGCCAATCTAAAAAGGCTATATTCTGTATGATTCCAACCAAGTGACGTTCTGGAAAAGGCAACACCATGGAGTCAGTAAAAAGACTACTGGTTGTCAAGGGTTATAGGGGACAAAAGGGAAAGCACAGGGGATTTTTAGAGTGGTGAAACTGTTCTGTATATTGGTGGATATGTGTCATTATATATTCGTCCAAATCCATAGAACGTGCAATCCCAAGAGTAAATCCTAACGTCAACTCTGGGCTTTGGGCAATGACATATTAACACAGGTTCATCAACTGAAACAACCATGTTATTCTGGTGGGAAATGTTGGTAGTAGGGTTGCTGGGTGCATGTATAGGCAACAGGGCATGTGGGAAATCTTAAACTTCTATGAAGTTTTGCTGTCTATCTAAAAGGGTTCTAAAAAATAAGTCTATTAAAGAAATGTGAGGAAAGAATATTCTATGAAAAGCCCAGAAAGGCAGTCCTGGATCTCATTATTAATGCAATGACAGCTATTGGGGGTTGGGAGGGCGGTGGAATGACAATGTCTGATGTACATTTTAAGACAGCTACTGGCTGCTGTGTGGAGAATGGATTTGAGGTGACAGTGATGGAGCTGGGAATACAGAACAGGAGGCAATTAATACACTTTAGGTCAGAGCTAACAGGGACGTAAAGTAGGAGAGAAGTCAGTAAAGATGAAAAGATGTGGTGCATTAAGACTTTCCTTTGGATGGAAACTGGATAGGACTTGGCCATGGATTACAGTCATGGATTGAAAGAGAAGCATCAAGCATGAGCAAAAGCTGTGGGGTGAGCAAATGAAGTCCATTTTCCAGATGAAGAATAAACAAAGATGAAGCTGGTTAAAGCAAGATCTAAGTTCACCTTTAGATTTGAGTCTCCTGGTAATGTCTGAGTTTGGTTGGTTTGCTTACTTTGTTCCTGTTTTGGTTATGAACATAGAGAGTAGATGAATACTATCCACGCTTATTTTTGAAAACATTTTCAGAGATCAGAAGAATGGGTGGAATTCTGTCATTTATTTGAAATCCCCACACTGCCTCAGCAGCAGTATCTCAAAACTTCACATTCATGACGAGCCCCGGAGCTTTCTGTCTCAGTCACACTCATCACTCACCACAGCTCTGTAAAATGCACTCTGAGAAATCTGCTACAATGCATTCCCTCCGTTAAGTCAGGCATTGCTCCCTCCAACCCAAAGCAAATATAGTTTAAATCTAAAATGTTCCCCCTAAAAGCTCATATGTTTAGAGGACAAGCTTTTGGAAGGTGACTGAGTCACGAGGGGCCCAAACTGTATCAGTGGGTTAATACACTGATGAGATCATAACTTTGCGGCACTATGGAAAGGTAATGGAAACAGAACGAGGGTCCAAACTGAAGGCAGTGGATCATGGAGTGTGACCTTGGGGGCTACACCTGCTCCCTTGCCCCTTCCCTTTGGGTTCTTTCCCTCTTTCTCTCTTTTCTGACCACTATAAAGTGCAGGTCTCTCCCCCATCATACCCTTTCACCATGACATTTCTGTTTCCACAGGCCTAAAAGCAACAGAGCTGGAGGACCATGGACTGTGACCTCTGAAACTGTGAGGCAAAATAAACCTTTCCTCTTTTAAGCTGTATTCCTCAAATATTTAGTCACAGCAATGAAAAGCTAACTAACACAAAACTCATTAGTTTTAATAAGAAAATCTAGAAAACGTACCAGTATTATTCTTCTAAAGCAATGGTTCTCAAAGTGTGGTCCTCTGACCAGCACCATCAGTATCTCTGGGAACTTGTCAGAAGTGCAAGTTCTTGCTGAGTTGAATACTGTGGAGGTGAAGCTGTTACTCTAGTCACCACAAGTCCTCCTAGGGTTTTGATATATGCTCACCCTGGAGAACCGCTGTAAACATGATTTAAAGGCTAGCAATATTCTCTTAAATATTTTTACATCACAGCAGTCAAAAATAGTACTTTCATCTGCATGATCAAAAGTACAGGAGCAAAAGATTTTCTTTGTTGAGAGTGGCATAGTGCATCTCAGAGGCAGGGATAAGAAAGGCAGGTCTGGCTCACCTGGCAGACGCCACTGATACACATGTCCAGGGATTCGGCATTGCAGCGAGTTCCATCTAGCACTTTGGGTGCTAGCTCCACTACCAAGTTCTGCCCTCGTGCATGGCACTTAAGTGCACATGGGGCAGTGGGATCATTGTACTGTGGAAGCCATTCATAATAACGCCCCTGATACTGGACATCATTGTAGGCTGAGCACTGCTGGGCTCTGAAGTCTTCTGCATCTGGAGGACAATCCTGGAAGCAGAGGAAAAGGGACATTACCCTTTGACACATCACCCAGTGACAGGGGCCAAGAGAAGGCTGAACGATGATACCAGAATCTCAGGAGACCAGGCTCCCCTTACCTCCCTTCTCGGAGTCATCTTTTTCCTTCATCATTCCTCTTCTTTAAGAGAAGAAACAGAATCTATAGCTGGGCTCTCTGCAATAATGATCTATACAGGGGATCATCTTGTTTATGCTGACCACGCTTCCACCTAAGTGTTTTTTCCCAGATATTTAAAGATTCTAGTATTTAGGCATCATACTTTGCCCTATTTTAACCAACTTCACACAAATTTTAAATCCATTCCATTCCATTGTCTCCTCCGTTTTGAAGGAAACTAAAGGCCTATAATTTTTCCAGGGGATTCAAGGTCTCTATAGTAGTAGAAATTACTAGCCATGGCTTCAGAAGCTATTTCAGTGGAAAGGGTTATTTGCATCAAATTAACGAGACTCAAACTGTTGTGCTTTGGAAGAACTCATGTCTATGCTTTTGTCATTGATTAATTCATCAGCTTTTCCTCCTTGGTCAGGTCCACCCATTGCTCTTTTCTGGCAACAAACACCTGCCTTCGGCAGGCTGTAGGCTGGGCAACACACAACAAAATCAAGTATGTCCAGTAAACACCCTCAGGCATCCTCATAATGATAATAAAAAGTACCTGGGTGAGTATTGGTGACTCAGGGCTCTTTTAACTAAATTACTGACTTTGTCCTACAAATATTTCTAAGGCAACATGCTGGGTAACCAAAAAAAAAAGTTTACTCATCAAAAATCTATTTTTTTTTTTTTTTTTTGGTGTACCGATTTCCTAACTAAAGAACATAGATACAGAAAAGGCCAATACATTACTTAAGATTTTCTTATTCTGAAAATAATGGCCATTGTAAAAGCTTTGAGGAATGCTATTAGAAAAAAAAGAATAAGAAATAAGGATTCTTGTACCTAAATCTTTATACTGGGTTATTTCCTGAGTACTAGTTTCCAAAAGTAACATTTCTAAGTCAAAGTAGAAGCCTAGTTTATGGACTACTCAAAATATTGCAAATTACCCTCCAGAAAGGTATCCCCAACAGGGTACATAAGTTGCCTTTTTTCAATACTGCTTTCCAGTTTGAATATTATAATTTTCTAACTTTTTCCAACCAGAAGTGAAAAAAAAAAAGAATTTCAATGCTTTCACTTATATTTCTTTTTCATTATTTAAGGTTAATATCTTTTCATGTATACTTACTTGCTTTTTATAGCAATTATTCAAAAACATCCTTGTTTTATCCCCTTTCTTAGTTTATCTATTGCAATGTTTGTCTTTTTATTATTTTTAGTGGATAAAGACTATTAACCTTCATAATAAGTTACCAAATTTTGTCATTTGCGTTGGAAATTTTTCTCACTTATTTTTGCTTTTAGCACTCTGTGAAGAAGTTTTGAATTTTTATGTAGTCAGTGCTATTAACATTTCCCTTTATGGTTTATTTCTTTATTAATGGTCTAGAAATGCTCTCATTCTGTCCCAAGGACAGAAGAATATCTAAATGTATTTTTCTAGTTCTTTTTTAGATAGGCAACTGTAGTTAACTCTTTCTTATATCTGAAATTTATTCAGCTGAATGGTGTGAGGGAGAAATCTGGCTCTACTTTTTTCCCACAACAAGTTCCTGAAAACTTTCAGATGTAGTTTTCATCTCTCCTCTTTTTACTACTTGACTTTTGTGTTTTACTGTGTATTAGCCAGTGCTTACAAGAGCTTGCAAGGCTGGAACCAGGCTCCTCAAAAGAGTGCACATGCTCAGAACCTGATTTAATGTAGGACACAGATTACATGATGGGGGTACAGTGGCCGCCAACAGAGTCAAGTGTAGAAGACAGCATCAGGTCCATGTGCTAGACAGGATTCAACTGAAGGTCTGGAGCCCACACCAATGTCACATATGAATCCGTTATCAGGAGGCCAAAGGACCCATGACAGAAGATGGAAGGGCTGCGGGCTGGGGGGGGGTCAAAGACTCGACATTAGAAGCTGAAGCGTCTGCACTGGTGACCTGAAAGGCTGGTGCTGGAAGCTGAAGAATCTGTGCCAAAAGCCAGGAGATGGTACCTCAGGTGAAGGCAAAGACCAGAGCTCCCCCAAAGAGAACAGCCAAAGCTCCTCCAAGGAAACCCAGCCACAAGGAAACTCTTCCAAGGAGAATCAGCCAAAATCCTTCCCTCCCATTCTCCTTTTATACCATTTGGACAACAGTCCTCCTTCAAGTGGGTTTTCCATGCCCAGAACCACGCTGACTCAATCTGAACTCAATCTGAATTCATCACGCTGAACAACCAAGCTGGATGTTCCCCACTCAAGCTGACAATCAGTTCACCACCTCATTCTGTGTGTATCCTTCTGGCCTTTATAAAATGCCTCAAATCTTTTGTAAAGCAGGTAGGGAATAAACAGAATATAATTAACAAACTACCTGCTGGGGTTAGTTGTATTATTTTGCTGTGAAACATTCCAAAATAAATCCTATATTATATCCACACTCTTGTTGCCTTAGCCAGATTAAATCTTAACCAAGCAAGTCAAACTGAAGAAGCCTGAAATTGGATGACTTTTCTCTCATGAAATAAGGCCTTAGGAAAGATCAGTGATAAGACGACTTCACCTCCTGTCCCTCTAGCCATGGCCAGTTCTCTCTGCACCTGGCTCTGAAACCAAAGGGAAGTGAGCAAGGGAGCAAGGTGTGGGGCTCCCCTTGCGTGAGGCCGGCTCACGGGGCTGTGCTGTGATGATAGGGCTGTGCTCTTGGGGGACCGAATGTGCTGGCTGCCTGGCTCAGGCCTGCCTTACATTCCATGCACCAATCAATTTTCAAAAACCTGTTGACAGCTAATGAAGGAAGACAGCTAGATCACTAGCCTAGATGAGTCCCTGCCCAAAGGGTGGCCACGTCTGACCTTCGTGGCCACAGAGACTATCCAGGGGCAAACATATGGCCCACATCAGGTCCACCTTTTCTCAGAAATCTGGAATTGCAGCAAAAAAGCCAGAGCGGAGAACTCAATCAGTCTCGGCAGAGCTGGCCATTTCATCTTGGAATCGCACATTGAGGCCACATAAGGAAGTACTCATAGCAGAGAAGAATGAGGTAGGTAAGAAAGAAGGACAGAAGGTGAACTGTGATTTCAATAGAAAGAGTATGGAACCTTTCTGATTCCTGGCCCCAGGTCCTCAAGCCTGTTTACACTACATTCCACTAAATACCCACAGTTCCATTCAGTGGATCCCATTTTTCTTGAGCTCATTTGTGTAGGCCTCTCTGCTCGTAGCTACTGGTGACTCCTGATTCAGGTAGTCTTTTATCAGGATCATGCTTTGGAGTCTGCCAGAGACTATTACTAATATTCTCTTCTCTCCACCATGCTTGGAGCTGGGTAGGTCAACATTATGATAGTCATCCTTTCGTAAGTGAAGAAAATGGTAGCCTAGAGAGTGTTTTAAGGGCAAGCCCTAGGATATACAACTAGAGGTAAGGTAGATTCCCCAAGTAACCAGAACTCCATTACATGATACTGTGTTCTAGTAAATGAGGGATGACAGGTACATTGAATGCTTTCCTTCACGTCTCATTTTTCCAGTATTAACAATGTGCCTGCTCTGTTGGACTCAGCTGGGTCATATGCCAGCCCAGGACAATCTGGTGATTCTTGGGTCTTAAACAATCTAGTCAACATTTAAGAAACATGAACAACCAACATTCTTCTGTTTTCCTTTCCTTGAGAAGTGTTTCTTCATAACAGCTCAGTTTAAGGCAACACTTACTTACTGCATGTGCTTTATGAGCTTTGCCCTAAGCCATACGCCACGGAGAACAGAAAAGAATATAATCCAACACTATCATTCAGTGGCTTGTTCTCTGATTGGAGATGTAGCTTTTGTAGGCATGAGACACAATGGAATCATGTGTCATTGTGGGGGGGTGTGTAGGTTTATAGTAGGGCTGCAATTAAAGGAATGCAATTGTCATCCAAAAGTTAAATCAGAAAGCTGATGGACTAAAGCTAATAAAGAATGAATAGAGCCTGGATCAGCAACACTTGGCTCTAACCTAATAGAGGTCATTAATATATCTAAAAGAGAAATATGTCTCACGAGGGAGTAGTCAGACTGGGAAGTACAGAAAAGGAAGAAAAGGAAAAGGGAGAGCAAGAGAAGGAGAGTGGGAGGGAGGAGGGGAAGGAGACAGAGGAGAAGAAAGTGGAGAAAAAAAATAGGAAGAGGAAGGAGGAGAAGAAGGAGCAGGAAGAAGTGGCCTGGTCAGCACCTAGCACCTACTCACAGGCCATCCTGAAAATATGGGTCTCCTTCACCTCCCAAGACCACGGAAATGTATACGCCACATGGACAATTTAAGGAGAGAAGCCAAGACAGGAAGATTACCTAATAACCTGAGTATTTTCATGCAAGAGAGACAGAGCATTATGTAAGAGACTATTTATGCTAGGATTGTATAATTAATAAGTTTTAATCTGGATTATATATTTAACTTCTCTCTCAGATAAGCCCTGAGTATGGACTCAGAAGAAATATTATTTCTGTTATAACAAAACTTTAAAATTTCATGTTATCATCATATGCAAATTGTAGTCTGAGTCAAATTTTGTGTTCCTTTTGTATATAATGAATGATAAAAATTTCTAGCATAAAAATGAATTATGGGAGGCAGACACTATAAACATAATCTAGTGAAGGGATTTAAAGGATGATGTGGAATCCACCAAGACATGGAAACAGGAATCCACCAAGACATGGAAAACAGCATGAGCAAAAAATAAATAAATAAATTTAGTATCTTTAAGGGGCCTTGCACTGCATTGTCCAGCAAACATGAGAGTTGTGCATCGAAGAAGAGATTCAAGGTGTGAACGGAATACATGGTTAATTTTTAAATTAAAAAAAATTACAATGAAAGACACATTGCCATTAATCCCCTCTAAATATTTCCCTTAGCTTTGAACATGCTTATCGTCACTTTCTACAGCAATTCTGAAAGTTCTCTTTCTTGAGCATGTCTACAATGTGTGATTAAAAAAATGTGGAGAATGCTGCTGTTGGCTACCATCCATAAAAAGGCAGGCTGGTAAAAATATTACAGTGAGTCCTCATCCACCTTATTCATCAGATCTGGCGTTGTGAGACTTCTGTGTCTTCCCCAAAGTCAAAATGACTATGAAAGGTCAATATTTTGAATTGGGGCAGCCACAATAACACAACTAAAGACACCCAAGAAAGAGGACTTCCAGAGCTGCTCCGGAAAGTGGCAAGGATGATGGGATAAGTGTGTTCAAAGCAAGGGGGAATATTTTGAGCTAGATCCACAGCAGTGTGTCTTTAACGGTAATATTTTTTGACCACACCTTGTATATTCAGCCAATGTCTCAAGGTCCTGCATGTGAGAGGGGGGGACTGAGAAGTACTAAGGATGCAAACAGGGCAGTGATATAGAGAAGGTGGCATTTCAGGTAAGGTGGCCTGGAGGTCTGGAGACCTTGCCTAGAGTAGGAGTAACATCAATGGAAAGGAAAAAACACCTCCAAGAAAAACAGTGAGAAGCTATCAGAAATGAGGCATGCATAGGGTCAATGGTATACAGATCCTTCAGAGGACACATCAAATGTCACCTCTTCTAGGAAGCCACAGGGCACGCACACAGCCCACTGCACAGAGCTAACTGCACTCACAATAAATATGTACACTTCACAAACACATTCCTGCCAAATTGTGATATATTGCATAATCAAAAGTACTTTTCCCTTTGCCTCCACTAGCACTGCCATTAATCCTAAAAACCCTGGCATAAGAAAACCTGCACCGTCAGTGAATTCAGGTATAAGACCTTCTGGCTGACATGCATGACTTCTCTTGGAGACTGCCACTGCTCTGTTAGACTTGTGATAAGGGTCATTCTTCTCTGTGGCCATGGGCCCAGGCTCCAGCTGTAAGAATCTATGCTCAGTGCTGATTGATGCTTCTGTGTGGGGACAGCAGGCGTGTGGGAGCTGGAGCCCTGCACACAGGCGTGCCTGTTCCTCAACTTTCAGCTGCAAAGCTGAAAGCCACACCACACCCCCCCGCCCCAACAGAACAGACCTGGGAGAGCCACTGAACTACAGCCTGATTTCTTGGGGACAGCAACATGGTCGAGAATCCCACTCCTGCTTCTTGAAGTACTCTCCCCTGCACAACATGGATTTCTTCATCTGTGTGCTCTGCATGCATGTCCCTATCACATCCAGGCTTCATGCAACAGCTCTTCTGACTCTCCCTTTCATATAGGTAGCATCCTCAGCTGTGGTGGTGGGATTTTGAAATGCAGCTGTAAAGTCAGTCCCTAGGCAGAGGAACTGCTGGGGGCTGTGGCTATAGACACAAGGGTACATGGAAGAGGTCATTCCCTCCTCTTCTCTGACCTTTGTCCCTTGCTGACTATGGCTATTCAGGTCTGTTCTACTGTTCCAGGGCTTGGAACACCCACAGTGGTCTCTTTAAGAATAGTGCCCCTCCAATTACATCAGCGCTCATGGGCACATGTGTTATTCGAAGCTACCAGGCTTTAGTCACTGCTGTCTGCAGCATCATTTCATCATCAAACAGAGCTGGAGACCTTTCCAAGCTCCTGTCCTACAGAATGGCTAGATCTGATCAGATGAATTCTCCAGCATCTCAGTTTCCTTTTAATTCCTATCACTTTAATTTGGACATGAAGCAATAGCAGTAACAAGGGAAATGTTCTGAGTGGAAAAGAAGATTGAATCTTTGTGTTTATTTGGTGTTTTTTTACATTTACAAAGAAAAATATTCTAATTTATTTTAGTGGTAACTGATGGAAAATAAGAGTGAGGTTTGTATAAATTTCTCATTCTGTGTGATCTCCTTGTCCTTCTCCTTCTCCTTGTCCTTCTCCTTCTCCTTCTTGTCTTTTTAAGACAGGGTCTCACTATGCAGTTCAGGCTGGCCTTGAGCTCACTTTGTAGCCCACACTGGTTTTGAACTCGCAACAATCCTCCTGCCTCAGCCTCCTCAGTGCTGGGATTACAGGCATGCGCCACCACGCCTGGCTATGTAATCTTCTGATGAGCCACCTGAACATGTTTTGCATTGGACAAGACAGGGGTTTGTGGTGGCAGAATCAGCACTACACTGATCAAGTCCATATTCTTTGCATTCTTCTGATATGACCAGAAATTAATCTTTCCTGTCCTCTGCCCCAGTTCCTGGGTCTGCATATGAGAAATAACCACATTTGCCTGCCTGCACCTGAGAGACCCTGTGGAGGTCAGGTGAGATACTGAACCAAAAAGCACTGTGAATTCTGAGGGAGTTTATGGTATTATGTATAGTTTCTATGAATTCAGAAATGATCAAATGGTCAAAAAGCTAGGATAAATGAAAGGTACAAGAGACACAAAAGCAGTTGTCAAACAAGTAGTCAAGCTTCACAAAAAACTGTTAGCTTTATAGTACTTATGATAATATACTTCAAACATGACTTTATTGGGTTATATATTGTTATTCTAGGACTTACGTGATGGCTGCATGTCTTGTATCGAATATTCTGCCCCTCACAATTCCTGAAGAAGGAAAAAAGAAAATGATGATTCTGTAGAAGTGGGAGGCTTAAAAAAAGAAAGCAAAAACAAGATACTAGTCCTGATTTTTTTTTTTTTTTTGCTAATGCACATTATCTCAAAGATTGCAAAGTTTAAATTCCAATAAAATAACTTGCATGGGTCATGAGAATGAAAAGTCTCATACAAGTGCACACTAAATAGTAAGGGAATTCTTCAGCTGTTTAATGTAATAATAACTAACTTTATTACACACATGTGAGTCTAGCCCAAGGCCTATGTAACCGGTGAAATTAATATGTTGTGGGTGTGGGTGTGTTTTTAATGTGTACAGCTGTGTTGTTTTTCTATGAGGAGAAAGGACAAGTTACAAGCAGAAGCATTTGTGTGGCTTGTTCCCCCAGGGACTTCCCGCCCCCTCTTCCTGAAGCAGCCCAGGTCAGCTGGGGATTCTCTGTCCTCCTCCTCCAGTTGGTACAACTGTCTCTGTTAGAAATCTGCTTGTGGCAATGCTGCTGCTTTATTTCAAACATCAGTCTTACTAAATAAACCCTATGAAACAGTGTCAGGCAGCTTCCTTGGGATGCCAATACCATCAGTGTGAGAATACTCCAATGACGGTCACCAGCCACATAACCTGTCCTTCCTTCCAGCTTAGGGATCCCACCACTCACTGTCCAGGCTGGATTGGCCTTTGAATATTTGAAACTCCAACCAACAGGTACTTTACTCAGTCCAGTGTTCACTGCTCTATATTAGATATATTAACGACACCTTTCTCAATTTTTCAGTGGCATGCTTTTTTTCTTTTATGTCTTACTGGTCAATCAAATAGCAAACTTAAAATGAGGAAAGCGAACCACATATTTAAATCAGTCCCTTGAATTAAAAGTCAGTAGACACTACAGTCAGGCACCATCCAATGTTGCATCTGTCCACAGACCATGTACATGAAGGTGAGGGTTCCCTATGAATATACTACTGCAATGGCAAGCAGAAACACCAAAGCAACACGCAGCATTTGGAGGCAGATTTATTTTACATCGATGGACACTGGTTGGGATCATTACCAAAATATCAGGCCCTGATCCTCGGTAGTTTGAGGCTTATATGGGATAAGCATGCAGGAAGTACAGAAGCAGAGTATTTGGCTGTTATTGATTGGTTTCTATAATATGCATCACAGTGACCAGCTCTTTCTTGGAGACAGAAGTAACAGAAACTTGTAACAGGAACTGCTACCTGGGCAACTAACAGACTGGCTTGGGAGAACATTTTCTGTTACATTACCAGATGCTACATAGCCATGTTTGTTTGTACAAATGCATTCTATGTTTGCATATTGATGAAATAATCTAACAATAAAGTTCTTTAAAATATTTAGTCTGTGACAATAGAAGAATTTTAAATGTTATTCTTTTTTTTTAATTTTTCTTTTGGTGTACTAGAAATTGAATCCAGGATCTTCACACTGATCTACATCCCCAGTTCTCATTTATTTATATTTTTTAAAATTCTGAGACAGGTATTTGCTAACTCAATAAACTGCCCAGGCTGGGCTCAGGCTTGTGATCTTCCTGCCTTAGCTTCCCAAAGTGCTAGAATTACAAGCATGCATGACCATGCCCTGCTAGGTTTCTTATTCTAATATTTTATAGCAAAATTTGGAAAGCTGACCGAAGTACTTCTAACCCTAAAATGACATTTTGAGCCTATCTGAAATGGTTGATGGCACCAGCAATATACAAGTAATGCTGCTCCCCAAGGTACTTTCTGGTGACCCTATTTTTATTGATTACAAAAGGAGTGAGTGGAAGACAATTCTGTGTTGAGACTTCAAGAGGTAGAAAGTCAGTCATACAAAATGTTTTCAACAAGACCTTTGCTCTTACAATTCTGGCCCTTAATCTTCTAATGCTTCTGCCATGATTTATTTGAAGAGTTGAAAATCTGGCTGTTAATTCATTTTTATATTTGCTTTAATCTAATATTATAAGCATTTTTCCATTTTATTGATAATTCTTTAGAAAAAAATTGTTTTAATGATTACATTGTAGTCCATTATACACGTATTATTTTTATTTTAAAGAGAAAAGAACAAAAATAACAAAAACAAAGACAAAAACACAACAACACAAAAACTATAAAAACGATACAGAATTTCAAAACAAGATGACAGGAAATCAACAGTGGCTGTTGTATTACTTATTGTTATCTTCAGAGTAGTTGCTCAGATTACCAGATACAGGCATGCAAGACTGATTAAACAATTAAACATTAACTGGTTTTTGTTGTTGCTTTGAATTGAAAAGTTTGTAATTGTGGTAAAATGGGCATATCTTGAAATTTACCCTCTTAACCATTTTTTAACTTTAATTTTTTATTTATACAAATTGGTTGCAGTCATTGTGGGGAACTTGTAGATAAAAGATAAAAAATCTTTCTTCTTTTTTCTTCCAATCCCTTCCACTCCCTTTAACCCTTTTCCCCTGCCCCATTTATGAAAGCTTCATTTCTATTTTTCCCTTGTATTCTTTTTTTCCCTTTTACCTATTTTCCCTTCTCTCTCACTCCTCCCTTGCTCCCCTTCCCATTGGAACATTTTCTTCCTATTTCACAATATCTATCCTCCATTATGCTCCTTATTTACACTTTGAGCTTCTCACACAAGAGAAACAATGCAATATTTTAACCTGTGTGTCCAATTTATTTCACTTAAGAGTATGGTCTCAAGGTGCATCCATTTTCCTACAAATTATTTAAGTTTATCCTTCTGTATGGCAGGGTAGTGCTCCATTGTATATAAATACCACATTTTCTTTATCCATTCACCTGTTGATGGGCATATGTACTGTTTGTAAGATTGAGCTATTGTAAATTGTGCTGCTATAAACATGGGTATACATGTATCACTGTGGTATGATGCATCTAACTCTTTTTGAAAGAAACTTAGGAGGGCAACACTGGGTCAAATAGAACCTCTATTTTCAGTTTTTTGAAAAACCTCCATACTGATTTCCACAGTGGTTGAATGAGTTTACACTCCCATCAACAATGGGGAAGCATTCCTTTTCCCCCACAGCCTCATTGGCATTTGTTATTGGTTGGTTTTATGGTAGAGATGGAATCTGTGTTGTTTTAATGTCCATTTCTTGAGTGACAGTGATGTTGAGGATTTTTTCATATAAGTATCTGCTGTTTGCATTTCATCTGAAAAGTGTCTATACATTTCAGATGTCCATTTTTTAGTCATTTATAAATTCTAGATGTTAATTCTTCATTGGAGGAGTAACTGGTAATTTTTTTTCTCATTCTGTGTGTTGTCTCTTCTTCAGTCAGTTGGTGATTTCCTTTGCTGTGCAAAAGCTTTTTAAATTTTATGTAGCCAGGCATGGTTGTGCATGCCTGTAATCCCAGCACTGAGGAGTCTGAGGCAGGAGGATCCTTGCGAGTTCGAGACCAGCCTGGGCCACACAGTAAGCTCAAGGCCAGACTGAACTGCAGAGCGAGACCCTGTCTCAAAAAAGACAAAAAATAACAATAATAATAATAAGTTTTATGTAATCCAACTTGTTGATTCTTTGTAATATTTCCTGTGCAACTGGGTTTTGTTCACAAAGTCTTTACCTATATGTATGTTTTCAAGAGTTTTTCCTATTCTATCTTCCAGAAGACTTAGTATTTCTGTTTTAATGTTTAGATATTTGATCCATTTCAATTTTAGTTTAGTGTATGGTGAGAGATATGGGTTCAATTTTTGACATGTAAAAAGCCAGTTTCCCCAGCACCATTTATTGAAGAGGCTATCTTTCTTCCAGTGAAGGGCTTTGACCCTTTGTCAAAGATAAGGTAGCTGAGTGTATTTGAAGTCGTTTCTGCATTTCCTATTTTGTTCCATTGATATTTAGGTCTGTATTTTTTTTTTTTATCAGTAGCATATTGTTTTATCACATAGCTGCAGTATAACTTCAAATGAGGGATTATGATGCTCCCTGCCTTGCTCTTGTTTCCTAGAATTGCTTTTGCCATTCTAGGTCTCTTCTCGATACATATGAATTTTAGAATTATGTTCTCTAGTTCTGTAAGGTATGCTGTTGATATTTGGATTGGGGATGATTGAATCTGTATAACAATTTTGGAAGTGTGGCTATTCTTACTATATTAGTTCTGCCTATCTAAGAACCTTCTTTCCTATCACTCTTCCTTTTATTTCTCTTGTCTAATTGCTTTGGCTAGTGTTTCCAGAAATATATTTAACATGAATGGTGATAGAGGGCATCTGTGTCTTGTACCTGATTTTAGATTGAAAGCTTTCAGTTTTTCACCATTTAGTATAATGTTAGCTGTTGGTTTGTCCTGGATGGCTTTTATCAGATTGAGATAAAGACCATATGTTTCAATTTTCTGTAGGGTTTTTATTATGAGTTGGACTTTGTCAAATGCTTTTTTTGCATTTATGGAGATGATTATGCAGTTTTTGTCTTTGGTTCTGTTAATGTGGAACATTATTTTCATTGATATGTGTGTGTGTTGACCCTGCATTCCCGGGATAAATCCTACTTAGTCATAGTGTACGATCTATTTGATGATTTGCGGCATTGTTTGCCAGTATGGTATTGAGGATTTTTGCATCTATTGTCATGAAGGAGATTGGCCTATAGTTCTCTTTCATGGCTAGGTGCTTCCCTGGTTTTAGTATGAGGTAATGCTTGCTTTTAGGAATAAGTTTGCGAGAACTGCTTCACTTTCAATTCCATTAAAGAGTTTGAGGAGTAGTGGCATTAAATATTCTGCAAAGTTCTTGTAGAATTCAACATTAAATCCACCAGGACCTGAGCTTTTCTTTGTTGGCAATTTTCTTATTACCTTTTAAGTTTCATTGCCTGATACTAGGTTATTCAGAATTTTTACATCTTCTTGACTTGACTTTGTAATTCACATGTATCTAGGAACCTGTCCACTTCTTCTATATTTTCCATTGTATTAGGGTACATGTTCTTGAA